TAATAAAGTCATCACGTTTATCATATAGCTTTGTTGTTAGATTACCATTAGTGTCTTTTTCAAGTTAAATATCCAAGTATGAAGCAGAAGTGTCGGACTCTGTGGTATCTTTTATCTCAAGCTCACCAGGATATATCGTGTCGAAGGCATGAAAATGAGCTACAATTATATGATTATCAAGAACAATTTTTTTTATTTCAATAGTGATGATTGAAAAGCTTTGTGATAAATAATTCATTGCTAATAATTTTTTTGGGGGGTGGGGTAAATTACTAATTGAACTCCCTCCTTTTCGCTTTTCGGGGTTTAATTAAATTTTGCGCCTGCTATCAATATTACTGGTGGACCTGCTAGACTTTTCTCTAATTGCTATATGTACATTGTACTTTAAACTCATTGGCTTTAAGCTAAAAAGAAAAAATCCCACATCATTTTAACACGTAAAAAAACTTTAAAAAATTCTTTTATAGCTCATTTTTTTTTTATTGTGAACTTTCCACAGGAATCCTAAAAGGCATGACAATGAGCTACAATTATAATATGATTATTAAGAACAATTTTTTTTTCAATAGTGATGATTGAAAAGTTCGGTGATTAATAATTCATTGCTAATAAATTGTTGGGTTTTTTTTTGGGGGGGGGGGGTTAAATTACTAATTGAACTCCCTCCTTTTCGGGGTTTAATTAGATTTTGCGCCTGCTATCAATATTACTGTTGGACCTGCTAGACTTTTCTCTAATTGCCAAATGTACATTGTACTTTAAACTCATTGGCCTTAAGCTAAAAAAAAATCCCACATCATTTTAACACGTAAAAAAAGCTTTTAAAAAATTCCCACATCATTTTAACACGCAAAATTGATAAATGAATCAGAATGTTGAAAACCTTTTTCTTAGGAGAGTTATATCTCTAGGTGGAACAAAACTAACATCTTATCAAAGGCAGGAAAATATAACAGTATTTTAATTCAGTAATTTAGTCGTGATTGGTATAGGAGTAGTCATGGAAAAGATTATGTCGAAAGTCTTCTATACTCGTTGATGTGCAGGACTGTACTTATGCATACAGCTTTAGCTGGTCCCGCCCTGTGTTTCTTTAATGTTTTTTTTTTCGTTAAGAAATATGGTAAGGTATGTTAGTAAGAATAAAACCCCGGTTAGTTTATTACTCTAACGGGAATTACTTTCCTACAGGCCTGAAGATCGAGTTTATTTAGTCACCCAAGTTTTTTTTTTAAAAGAGTAGCATGTCGGCAAATAAAAATAAAGTAGTGTACAACATAGAAAAAGAAATGTTTGTTGAAGTATTGAAAAACTTCATACCTTTATAGAATGAAATAAACAAAAACTGAACAAAAATACAATTGTGACAATTATACAATGAATTAATTAAACAATTAATTCTTTTAATAGATTGCCTTAGCATGTACTACTTTAAAAGCCATTGTTCTTAAGGAAAACAAAATCATGCAAAATATTATAGACTTTCCTTTATCTAAAGCAATGGCCTTTGGAGAAAAAAAAATGGCTGAAAATTTTAAATTTGTTAAATATAATGTATGTGCATTTAGGACCCTACATTGTAATTTCATGCGAAAAGTGCAGGCGTTTACTACACGGGGATATGCGTACATATTTAAACAAAAAAAAGGATATAGAAAAAGTTATGTGATGAATTATATTATAAACATTTATCTAATAAATGTCTTTCTAGTACGTTAGATTACAGATTTCACACAAAAACTCATCAACAATATTAAATACAGTTTTGATTTCACATTGATCTATTAACGTCATTCTGATTTAATATAATTATACACGACGAGAATTAAGATCTTTTCAATACCTATAGAAAATTATTTAATTTCTAAAGAGGATAGTTTTATTTTAAATCAGTAATGAAAATTGAAATAAAAATTCTAAATAGTTTGTTCTTTCATTGAACTTCTTAAATGAAGGTTATTTTATAAATATGTTCTCTTGTATAACTTTATTTATGGAATATACAATTTTTTAAATGATAAAAGAAACACGAATCATCATCTTAATTCAAAAGAATTTTCGGACGGAGACTGTGTGTGTACATGCTCGACAACAGCCTATTGTTCCCTTTAGGTACAAAACCGTCTCAATTCACATAGAATATACAAAAAATACACAGTGACAGGTGTCTTCGCGGCACGTGTCTCCACCTGGAATGGCACGTGATGACAGGTGTCCCTAATTACACAGGGCGACCATAGTGACTTTTTAAAAGCGTTTTTTTGGGGGGGGGGTGGCTTCTCAAGGAAAAAATGAAAAGCACCCACCCCCAATAATAAAAATGATAATTTAATATATTTAAAAAAAACATTATTCACTATAAATAGTAAAATACTAGTATGCTAATACTCAACCCCCAGCCAATTCGATGAATCATTCTTATGTAAAATACTAGTATGCTAATACTCAACCCCCAGTCAATTCGATGAATGATTCTTATCTGACCAGTTTATATTAATATATTAATTCATATTAAAACAAAATTTTTATAACTTTCTAAACTTGTACATATGTATTTAAAAACTTCAAACACTAAAAAAGTAATTTTGACAAACCAACTGAAGTATTTTTTTTCCTGACGGATTACCCCGGTATATAAGAAATGCCAACCTCTGGTATATAACACAAATGCCTGGTGATGTCTTGTGAAAACATGTAATTATGTAAAAATAATTCTTCAATGTCAATTGCAAAATATTGGGAAAAAATTAATTATTTTATTGAGTGACGTCTCACCTGTCCTTAATCAGTAATCGTAACTTGACACATTTCTTTATTTACTTTTTAATCGATATTTTAATTAAACCTTTTCTGTAAATAATTTCATTAAATGTACCCTTCCTTAGCTCTTCCATTTTTTCAAAGAAACATTCATCATAGACAGCTTCAAGAAAGTGGGAACGGAAATGATTGATTTCTACATAACTGCATGCACTTACTTTTTTCTATTCCACTTCACGCATTCTATACGAGTTTACCATAACTTATGTGATAAATCAAATTAAAAATTAAATTAAATAAAATTCAGTTCAATAAGTTAAATTAAAATTGAATTGCATTCTCGGTGCTGAAATATTAAATTAATCACACAGAAATACACATCTAGTTATTTTAACTGTTTGAAGTTAATTATTTTGATACAGCATGTAAACACGTTTGAAATATTTCTATAATTGGTAAAAATATGGTAACATAATTAAATATTTTACTTTTTGTAAAATAAAAGGTAGGTGGTTAGTATTGAGATATACTTTCAAAGTTTCCCTGCCTGGGAAACATGGGGAAAACTACACATTGGTGGCTTCCATGTCGGGAATCTGTTTGGAAACCACCGAGGCATGTTTACATGGTTTCCTATCTTGGGAAACTTACGGGAAACCACAGGTTGATTGTTTCCATGTCGGGAATCTACGTGGAAACCACCGGGGCATGTTTCCATGGTTTCCTATCTTAGGAAACTTACGGGAAACCACAGGTTGATTGTTTCCATGTCGGGAATCTATGTGGAAACCACCGGTGTATGTTTCCATGGTTTCCTATCTTGGGAAACTTACGGGGAACCACAGGTTTATTGTTTCCGTGTCGGGAATCTATGTGGAAACCACTATGTGGTTTCCATAAAATGGAAACTATATGGAAACTACTGATGTCACGATTCCCATATTTTTCCATCGGGATTATTTGGATTTGTTAGATTACTTTATTCAAAACTAAATAGATTCTATGACCATGTGTGCAAATATAACCTATCACTGGACATTATTTTTACTTAATTGTTTGATATAAATGACATTATTCCGCTTTTTTTACCGAGTTTATTTACGAAATAATTGGGATACCTGATCAATACCACAATAGGTACACGGCGGAAGTGACCAGTAAGCAGGGAATCCTTACTTCTCATAGGCACCTGAACCAAAACAATTAATTTCTTTAGTTTTCTGTCTGCCCTCGCAACCTATTTGTACTTGTTTACAGTCATGAATTCGATAACTGTGCGTTTTTTTCCTCCCTCTACATTAAAATAGTTAAAATAGAAGCAATGATCATTTTTATCTATTTTTATTCCATATCAATTCTTTAATTTTTTTGAAATACTATTTTCGACAAAATCTTATTCTTCATATATTCTAATTCGACAAATTCCATTTAGTATTTTTTCATTTTTCTTCTCGCTACAAATAAATTTACAACTATTAGATGGTAGGGATGATCATTCATAATAGAATCTTCTAAAAGTCATATATTTTCACAAGGTTACAACATTTGATACCCTTCTTTCCTTCCTCAGTATGGGGAGTAAAGAATGCAGTATTGTCCTCAGAAGATCTCAAATTTATTACCTTGTGTGATGAGCAGATTTTAAAGCTAAATAACAAAATTTAGCAATTATTAAGTTACATTGCCTTCTTAAATTACGTCTCTTTCTCTTTAAATGAAGAGTACTGAAAATATTACAGTCTGTTTTCTTAGGTAGAATACAACCCAATACTATGTCAAACTATATAGGCCATTATGTACTTGGTTGACTCGGGTATAAAGTGTATGAATTCATATTATGGATGCAGTGATGTATAAAAGTTTTTAAACATTAGATTAAGAGATAAAAAGGGTGTTTAAAGAATGAGGTATTGTAGAGTATGTAAGAAAAAAAGATAAAGGGTATAAAAATACATAACCTGAACTATTTTGGTGTACCATTTTTTTTTTTAAAAAAAAGGGAGCTTAATACCCCTCCTTCATGCAAAGTGTCTTGTGTAAAATGACTCTTGATATATTCATTTCTGAATTTGTTAATTGAAACCATCAGCTTTCTAAAAGCCTTTAATCCAATTTCATGGAATCTATTTTGAGCATTCTTATAACAAGAGACAAGTAGTTCATATTTTTTTCAGAGAAATATTGACCTAACAATAAATACTTCCTTTAATCTTCAATAGAATTTTTATTTAAGAGCAATGGCAAAGACGTTTGGTTTATTTGGTTACACTGTGGACTCCTGTCCCGGTAACAAGACAGAGTACACGACCTCGGCTACCAGACTGGGGTGTGGTGTGGATGAGAATGGTCGGATTCAGTACGTCTGTGTTCCCAATCACCAGAGGTCAAGTCTGGTGGAGTTCTGTTATAAGTCAACAGTTCCATTTTATCAAAAAGGTATTTACCTCGATGTATGTAGTTTCGAAATTTAGAAATATGCTAAATGTGCATTCATTTTTTATGTATTTTTCTCCATAGAAAATTGTATAGAGGTATATGAAAGTGGGAACTTGGATCAAACAAACTGTCATAATTTCACAGATGGATGCCCTGATAACCATTTCTTTCTCTCAGACCTGTACAGATGTAAGTTTCAAATTAATCACTATTAAACAAATGATTAATATACACCCTTACTCACAGAGCTACTAGCTTATATGTTTGTAATCCATACAATGTATTTCAAAATATAGATAATTAATGTTCAAAAATTAAAATGAAATTCTTGAAAATATTGGCCGGGGGGGGGATTTAGGGAGTTAAATACTTTTAACTTTTCATTTTCTTTTTAATAATTATTAGTTTATTTGTTGTAAATGTGTACCATGTGGTGCTATATTTTCTGACTGATTCAAGATGATATGTGAAGTGCTATTCTCCATTATATATGCATATAGAATTGCATCAAATTATTTTTAAATAAAAGTAAGGTCTAGCTAGATACCCAACAAATCAAAAACATTTGAGACGAAGTTAAACTTTTGACAGATTTGTTATAATGCCATATTTTATACCTTTTCATTTTCTATGTCGTTTTGATGCTGTTTATTCTAACTACACGGGTTAACTTTTAGTTGTAAGTGGGTATTGCTGGGAACTGACTAATAAAAGATAAAAAGAAAAACAATGGAGATATTTGTTTCTGTCGCATAGATTATAAATAATGGATATGAAAAAAATGGTGCATTTGTATATTGTTTTTACAGTCCCACATTGTCACAGAATAAATCCTTTGGAAAGGTGCTTTTTTGCAGAACCTACATGTCCCAACATCACGTAAGCGAACATTGACGAGAGAGAGAGAGAGAGAGAGAGAGAGAGAGAGAGAGAGAGAGAGAGAGAGAGAGAGAGAGAGAGAGAGAGAGAGAGAGAGAGAGAGAGAGAGTAAAAGCATTCACACAAGAAAAGCTTTAGTTCGAATGTAAATTGACAAATCACTAATTTCATTTCATATCTTCTGCACTTTTCAAATTTTTCCAACATTTTGAGGTATGAACATAACAAACTTCGAAGTCCATTTTATCAGCTTGGATTTTTATGCATTTTAAAGAATGTTACAGCCTATAGGATCCGAGTAAAATAAGACTTACATTTATTAAAAAAAAATATTAAAAAAAATATTTAAAAAAGCAGGTTCTTATTTTATACACGTTTAAAACTGTGCTTCTCATTTTTTAATATAAAATACATATTTTTAACATACCCAATATTGGAATAAAATTAGCAAATCAAAATACACTTTCATATATAAGGTCGTCTACATATGAGTGTAAAATTCGAAAGAGGGGCGTTAAAGAATATGCAATCAAACAATTATAGGTAAGGGAAATCTTTGATTTTCAAAGTACACTTGGCCTAACTATATGTTTTTTTTCGGGGGGGGGGGGGTTTAAAAAAAAAAAAAAACAACTATAAATTTAATTTCCGTTTGTTTTGATATTGTAATTTTTCAAACCTTTCTGTAACACTTTGTCCTATTTTCTAGGCAACACCCTAAAAAACCCTTTGAGAATAGAACATTACACACGGCGTCTGTAGCAGGAATAATTATAGGAGTAGTTAGTGTCATTTTGGCTGTAGTTTTAGTGATATTCCTGTTGGTAAAAAGGAGACAAAAAGGCAGCAAAGGTAATCTTTCTTAATTCAATTCCATTTCTTCAGATATATAAAAGTAATCCTCTAGGACATATCATTATTCTGTTATTTGTACCTTGACTGCTTAATTGCTTTTTTACGTTTGAACATAATTAACAAAGTGTAAAAACAAATCAGCATTTTCAAACACTCTTTAAATAGTAATTTAGGCATCTCTTGATATCTTGTTATCTGTTTGTTGACTTGCTAAAGCCCTTTATATATACAGAATCTACAAGAGAAACAGTTAATAAACTATATAACTAGGACCATTGTAACTACATATATCACAAACGTTTACAACTATAAAGAAAACTAGTTCGAAATATGATAAAAATTAAAAATTAGAATTCTTTATAGATCCAATCAAAATGGAAGGAACCAACGAAGAGTCACAGAATTTAATTTCAATGAATACTGGTACATTTGTTAATGCACTAACACATAGTGTATGCAATTATTCAAAGTTTACATTTCTTTACTGATTACACTTTTTAAAGAAGAAGATACGGTTTGAGGTTTATTGTGCCCTTATAATTCAATTTTCTTCAAATGTTTGAAATTGACTTTGATAATAGTTGACTAGATACATGTAGATACGATATATCATTAATGAATATGACATTAAGGAGAACATTTCTGGAAATATGACGTCATTAAATTGGTTCATTCAGGAAAAACCTCAAAATGACCTATTTCTGTGCTTATTTTCAATTAGGAAATAGTGTCTGCCACAGTAGCCCACTTTAATTTTTGTTTAATTTATATTATGTAAACTGCTATGAAAAATCACTTATCTCAAAATCTTTCTGGGCGACGGTGGCAGAGTATGTTTTCTGAAATACAATTCCACTGAAAATTGATGTCTTCTGCAACTTTTTATGAAAAAAAACGGGAAAATACACAAGTTAATGATTTTCAAATAACACCTAGGCTAACTACATGAATATGTTTTTTTTTCGGGGGTGGTGGGGGTGTTGGTGGTGGGTGTTAAACAATAAAAACTACTTTCAATTTAATTTCAGTTTGTTTTAATATTGTAATTTATATTATGTAAACTGCTATGAAAAATCACTTATCTCAAAATCTTTCTGTGCTACCGTGGCAGAGTGTGTTTTCTGAAATAAAATTCTACTGAAAATTGATGTCTTCTGCAACTTTTAAAGAAAAAAAGAGAAAATTCACAAGTTAATGATTTTCAAAATACACCTGCGCTGACTACATGTATATGTTTTTAGTCGGGGGGTTGGGGTAAGGGGTTTGGGGGTTGGGGGTGTTTAACAATAAAAACTACTCTTAATTTAATTTCAGTTTGTTTTAATATTGTAATTTAGAAACTAAAAAATTAGAATTTGTTATAGATCCAAGCAAAATGGAAAGCACCAACGAAGAGTTACAGAGTTTAATTTCAATGAATACTGGTACGTTTTTTTACGCACTAACACATACAATGTAGTATATACAATTATTCAAATTTTGCATTCCTTTACTGATTACACTCTTTAAAAGAAGAAGGTACCGCTTGAGCTTTATTGTGTCTTTAAAATTTAATTTTCTTCAAATGTTTTGAAATTGGCTTTAATAATTATAGTTGACTAGATGGATACGATATATTATTAATGAATATGGGATAAAGGAGGACATTTCTGGAAATATGACGTCATTAATTTGATTCATTTCTAGGTTTAATCCAGAAAAACCTCAAAATGACCCATTTTTGTGCTTATTTTACATCAGGAAATAGTGTCTGCCACTGTTGCCCACTTTAATTTTTATAACTTAAATTATATAAACTGCTATGGAAAATCACATATCTCAAAATCTTTCTGGGCGACGGTGGCAGATTATGTTTTTCTGAAAGAAAATTCCACTGAATATTGATGTCTTCTGCAATTTTTTAAGAGAATATGGGAAAAATGATCAAGTTATTGAAGTCACAAATAGCATTTAGGAGGTAAAATGAGAAAAAACGATTTGTAGATTCTTACTGCCGGTAATATTCCTGTGTTTCGGAAAGAATGAATTTCGATTCTTATATCATTTTCATATTTTAGAAAAATATAGGGCCTAATTTTTATTGAAACTATACCTTCTTCTTATAGAGGTGAATAACAAGTTTACCGAATAATTTTGGTAAATATTTTTTATTTTTAATTTTTCAAAAATTCCAAGGAATTTTTTAGCATCAGAATCTGATTTACACCACTTCTTTAATATATTGTTGTACAGTGCTAATTGAAAGATCTATAATTTTATGCGGTATATTGCATATATTTGCCCCCATAAAATGCAAATTCTTAAAACTTCCTGAAATGTGCTGAATTCAATAAATTGTATTAAAAATATAAATCAACAGAAAATATTATAGTGTCAAAGCAGTGTATTCACAATTTTTGTTTTTATGACGTAACAAACTAGTCCGATTTATATCCTTTTTCAGAAAGAGGACAAAATGGTCAACATTTCAACAATTTTAGCTTTAAAATTTATAGAGCACAATTTTGTTCAGGAACAATATTGACATATTACATTGATATTATCATGCTACACATTATATCAAAATATTGATCCTGAACACACATGCGCTCGGTGACTTTTACTCAAAATATCGACGAAATATGTATATTTTTCTGTAAAAATTCATAAAAAAAACTGAAATCAACGTCACGTTTGTGACGTCAATACATACATATGCAATCGTTACGTATGAAAATATTCAGTGCTTTGAAGTCAGCATATACTCCCCTGTTTAAGAACTTAATTAAATATATATCCATCAAAGTTTGATTTGGGGGGCAAATATTGGTTATTACCGAATAAAGTTCTTTTCCTTCACTAATGTAAATATCTTAAGGAGGTTTGCATGAACAACATTTACAGGAACCCACTATATCTTTGTTCGTAAGGTTTATTATATAGTTTTAGAATTTAATAGGTTATAATTCGTATTCATTCTTGTTGTCTTTGATGTTGAAAACTTACATACATTACATAATTTTAAAGAATTTCTTCCTTAGAAAGGGGGCAGTGAGTATATGTCAGATTACCACTTGTAGAATGAAACCTTCTAAAGTTCTTCTAAAATACATTTTATATAATGTCTTTAGAAACAAAAATACTGTTGTTACCTGCTTTGTCAGCAGGGCCCGGTACGTACTGATCATATACCCTATTTAATTCTTTTCTCACGTCTGGATTATCGAATACAGATAGATAGATGGGTTTCATATTGCCCCTCAATCTTTAATCCATTCTGCCAAGGTGTCAACGTCTCCTTTTTCATATCTGACTTGTCGCCTAGCGTAAACCTCTACAGAATCAATAATATTTATGAAATTCCGACGGAATGAATGATCTGAGTTGAATGATTTGGGTTCCCTATATTTACGACTTTCACAGTTTGTGATTTAAGGTTCCCATTACTAACTATATGAAAAATATGGAGATAACAACAGTATTCAGGATCAAAAGTCCATAAAACAGTACCAAATAGGAACAGGGCAAATACAGACCCCCAAAACATTAGAGATGGGATCAGGTGCCATGAAGAAATGAGCATCCTCTGTCGACCGGTCACAGCTCGCAATGTTTTCTTTGTCATGATAAGAAAATAACGGAATGGATTCTTTTGTGTATAAGAATATGACATATCACTTGCGTCAATTCCTTTTAAGGTACTTGGACACAGATTTTAAGTTAATTTTTTTCTTTAATATTACGACTTATTTATTTTAATAGCATTTCACACAAAGATTAAATAAAAATCATATTTCATTTCAAGAGCCAGTTCACGAGAAAACCATGCAGAACTGTCCAAATCGAAGGTTGTCCTATCTTAATGAAATTTGGTGGGTAGTTAGACTTTATGATATGATATTTGTTTAATGGACGTTGAGATTGAATACTGTTCGTTATTTCCATATCCTTATGTTATTAAAAAATGACAAAAAAATTCCCATCATTCAAAATGGAGCCGTAGGCAGCGCCACTTCCTTTTTGCACATTTAAGTGCAAATGCACTTAAAAAATTCAAGAAAATTGGTAAAATTCACATTTGATTTATTTTACTCAAAATTAAACTTGCATTTCCATTAAGGTATTTTTAAGTAACATAAGACTATGTTCTTCCAAAATTGACATTTATCATTATCAAATATGCAATATATCAAAGGGCAGACAACTCTTGAAAATTGGCGTGATGCCAATTTTCAAGAATTGCCAAAAGTATAACAAATTTAATGCCCGAAATCTTCCAAGACCAATCTTTGAAACTATTTTTTTTTAATTTGTTGTCAAAATATAACTCTTAACATTATCTTTGCAAAATATTGAGCTTGGGAAATATTAAATAATTGAGATATGGGGATTTACAAATTGCCAATTTTTGAAAAAAATCCTCAAATTCAAATGGGTTACAAAGTCAAATATAGTACTTTAAATTATAAGAAATTGTTGTTATATATTGAAACATGTGACAATTTTCTTTGAAATAATAATTAAGATTGAAAAATATTAAAATTAAAAATTAAATAAAACTAAATTGTCAGAAATTACCCCTTATATGAGGATTAGTATTTTGCCATTTGTTTAGAAATGAAAAAAAGGGCAAAGCATAATAACTTGCATTGGCTAACTTGCATTTTTTTTTAACAATCATGTGAATATATATATGTTCCTAACGTTTTGTAAGTTACTTTCTTTTTAATTAATAAAAGTGAAATTACAAGTATTTAAATTCAAACGGACTCTATTTCAGTATCATTCATATAAATTTTGAAACTTGAACATATAAAATATGAGCCTTCCGTAAGTTGTTTGCTTTCTGCCAAATTATGAAAATACTGACAGGAGATGTTATACAAAAAACTCCATAAAGGAGTTTAAGAAAATGAAAGATGCTGGAGTTTACTTTTATCCCACCTCCCGCATCAAACAATTATCTTTTTTTCACTTGGTAAATTCTTTTCAGGTAAGTTTGATTTTAACCACCACTCCAACCCTTTCAAAATCGTTTCTCCATCACTGCTATGACTGCGATTTTCGTGCATACATGTAAGAGATTTAATGATTATGTATTGATCAACTTGAATTAAATAACGGGGGATTGAATTTATGAAATATATATTGTTTATAAATTTGTGTATTTAAGATGATTTAATCTATTAAAAAAATGTTTTTCTTTCCGTTTTCCGATCATCGGTTTAGCAACACCCCTCCAGAACCCTTATCATTTTTCGTTATTTAATCCATGTAAATTGTGGGGATATGAATGGGATTAAAGATTGGGTACTAGATACACTCAACAGAAGTTGATACCCCCCAATTTGAATGAACAATCATTCAGGGTATTCTGAATCACCTTTTACATTTTGACTGCAGATGAGTTTATTAAAAATTTTTCACATGGTTGTTTGGTATAAAAAGAAACAATTAGTGAAAAATCACATCTACTTTATAGAACGAGTCCATCTTCGATACAGCGGTCGCCCGCGTTGCGCAGTGGTTAGAGCGTCTGCTCTAGAGTCGCGAAGTAAGGAGTCAACCCTCACGTCGAGTGTTCGAATCCCACTGTGGGACATGGAGACCAGTCCTTCGGATGAGACCGAATAAACTGAGGCCCCGTGTTGCAGTAGGTGCTGGCACGAAAAAGATCCCTCACTGCTCAATGCCCCAGAGTGCCGAGCATAGGACAAAATTTATAGCCTTCCATCAGCAAGTGGTGGCGTCTCCATATGAGCGAAAAATACTCGAGAGGGACGTTAAATAACATACAATCAATCAATCGATACAGCAACCTTGACGGTGGTTATATTTGGATCACCTTTTTAGAGTACTTCGAATCACTTCCGGGTATTTTGAATCACCAGGTAAATGGGTGATGAAAACGGTCAGAAAACATCATCATAATTGATGAACTAGTAAGTATTGTTTATAAAATGCTCCAAGAATAAAAAGAATTAAAATTTTCTTTATTGCTCTTGTTTATTTAAAAGTTATCAATACCCCCCTCTTTATTCGCACTATAAAACATCTTTTCAAAAGCGGATCATGCAGAAAAGCAATTATTACCAAGACAAAAGGGGTTTTTAGAAATTACATAACTGTAAATTGTTAATCTGTAAATATAATTATGTCACTTTTTGCCCCTGTGATTTTTTTTTCGCTGCAAAACAATTAACATTGAAAATATCATAATTCTACGAATCGGCTACCAAAAAAAAAATCATATACATGTAATTATGATGATAATTAAAGAAATGTGTGAAAAGGAATAATAACTAGCTCCTGTTTAGATATATGTATCACAATTATTAAATATAACATAAATCACTGCATGCGTGCACAGTGTAAATATATGTGTACATGTATATATGCGTGCAAGTCCATATTAACACATGTATGATAAAAGGATCAACACTGGTCAAGCTACTCATTAACTCTTCACAGCTTTTCCAT